AGCTATTCCATGTGAGGCAACTAGTCATCCACTCGTACTGCAGTCCCATGGTGGATACAAGAGATTATTGATGATTGACAATTTGTCCTTTTCACTCTTAAAAAGCTCTCATAGCATCATCAATAAAAACAATACCAACACCTCCTCATTCAAATTTGGAAGCCATTCATTTGGAAGATGCTCTTCAGCCAACTTATTATCTAGATGTGTTATGTAAAATTGCTGCGGGTGAATGAAAACAAAGTGGCCCATTTGATGAGCTGGACCAATTATGCAACCTTGCCTATCTCTGGATCTTGGCAGAGGTCCCTTGTCAAGATGGATTTCCAGCTCATAGGTTGTGAGATGTAAATTGTGTGCTGCTAAGGCACAATCAGATTTTGATAAGCATTCTAGCATGAAAGGTTGGAAACCATTGAACTGCTGGGGCTTGGGGCATGGGTATTCTGCTAGTGAGGCATGACAAAACTATACCACTGCTCCAAAGGATAGTGCTCTAATGAAAGGTGAAACTGTGTGATGGTGCTCAAGATCTGTCATAGTATATATGGAATGGAAATGTATATATGTGTGACACGATGAACCGGTGAGGACTCATACACAGTGAACCAGTGAAGACTTGTGTCTCTCCACATGGACTAGTCACATGGCACAGGGCTGCTCTCAACACTCCCATTGGCATTGTGGCCATCACAAGTGATGCTCATCAGTGATTTGATATGTGCTATAGAGCAATCTTCAAAAGCACTGGCATTCGAGGAAGGAAGATATATGGGAACAGGGCCTTCTGTTGAGATGTTACATGATAGGATGAAGAGAAAATTAACTCCACCTGCCCGAACAGTGGCAACTGCAGTTGAGAAAGTGGTCCATGGCACATCTATGGAGTACACTCCCCGAGCTTCTATTAGTGATATGAAGACTATCCGCTCAAAGCGTCATTTTTCCTTTGCTGGGGAAGATGTTAGTATGGACCTTGGAGCAAAAAGCTTTCACAAACCTGATGTCAAGTACCATTCTGCTCCAAGACACCGCTCTCGAACCGAGCCACCTCAAGTGGCTGATGAAGAGAGTGCATCACAATAGGTTGAAATTGCTTACCGTAGCGTGGAGCCGAAGCAATGGGCAATCCGACGCGTGCCAACAAAATTGAATGTAAGGTGTGTGGGGATGCTTCTGAGGGGCAAGTGTTGAGCCTATATTCGTGGTGAAAAATCTGCTTCTGTTCCAGCCCCATGTTTTTATAGGGAACGAAAGCAAGCAGGATTTTCAAGATGGTGCTGGCTATATTGTTACAACACCGACACCAACCATACGAAGCGGCTTGAAGACACTATAGTGACTAAAGCTAATGCAATACCTAAAGAATGGCCAGTTGCTAATGGGGTCACGCTCACCTCGGATGAGATTGAAAACCTTGAGAAATCTAGTTTTAATCTTGAGAGGAGAGTTGGAGACATGAGTGACAGGAGCAAGACTATTCCTACAGAGATGGATAGGAGGCCAACATGAAAAGGTAAGGCAGTTAAATTTATTGGTACCGTCTCCAAGTAGAAGCAAGGTAAAATAAACTTGGTTCAAACACTTGAGTGTGAAATTCTCTCCACGAACTACATCATTGCACTTGCAAAGGAGTACACAGTCAAAACAGAAGGTGGAGAGTACACAATTGCCATTCACAACTTTCCTTCTTGCACATGTCCAGACTTTATGAAGCGCGAGGAACATGGGAAGGCATATGCTCCTTGCAAGCATATGTACTACATCTTCATCAACATCTTGCGCCAAGATCCTAAAATGGATATTCATATACACCAAACAAGCCTTACTATTGCTGAGTTGCAAAAAATTTTTGGAGCTAATTAAATTTCTCCAACACTATCGATGTTTATTCTCTATCAATAAAACTTATTATACTTTATATAATTAATAAAAATATGCTTTTTCATTTCACTTTTCATTTTATATGCTTCCGAGTGTTCTTCTCGCAATACTGCCCATAGTACTCGTGTGTTTCCATTTCTGTCTTTACCATCTCAAAAAAGATTTCATGGTAGTCTTTCGGGTGCGTGATGTTGCAGTGTGTCGCAAAAGCATATATACCATCATACTGATCATTGCCATTGTTTCCACCAGACGCTAGAAAATATATGGGGCACTTCTTGAAAGTGGCAGAATTGCACTTTTCTAAAACAAGTAAGAGGGCATTCTTTTTCATCCAATTTGTTGTACCCTCTGTCATTACATTTATCTCCAACTCATGATCACTATCCTCACTATCCTCTCTTTCATCCTCTTGTGTGATTTGGTTATGCTGTGCAATGGGATAGTTATTGCATCTTCAGCCCTTGAACCCTGGGAAGAAAGATTGTGAGAGTTAAAATTATCAATACTAGAACCCATAGACATTTGTGGGTGTATTTCCCTTTTTTCGAATGAGAGTGTGAATGAAGATCTATAAATTCTAGACAGTATGCTACGACAAACCCCTTAAGAATGTATTCTACAAAGAACCAAGTCTTTCTTTTATATGCAATAAGCTTACATCAACGGTTATTTTTTTTCCTTTCAAACGGTTATATGGCTTTACATAGAATCTTATTTCAAATTTAATAATTTTTTAATTCTGACAAACCTAACATTTACTAGCCAGAAAGCATAGAGTACAAATTTAAAGAAGTGACAAGAATACTCTTTTTGCAAACATTTTATTTTATATTCTAACAAATGTCCCTATCATTGCATGTAGTAAATATTTAAATTATTAGAACAAAAAGTGCTCTTTAGAACATTTTTATCTATATAATATATAGAGAGTTATTAAATTATTAGGTTCGCCATAACCTTAAACTTTTAAAATTTATAATATTTGTACTAAATTACAATTGAAAATTGAGCTCAACTCGTGAGCTCAACTCTTCAACTCGTGAGCTCAAGTATGGTCCACGCCCTAGTTATGCCTATGTAGTAGTAGTTTCATATATATGTACCATCCATATACAGTTGAATACACAAAAAAAATTTCCTCCTCATGTGCATCTCTCCACTACTACTATAATATCGAAGCAATTGGCTCCTTGATCTTGGGCATGGAACTTGCTAGCCAAGAGGCTAGTGACAAGGAGGAGGATGAGCCTCCTGATTCCAATCCCTTTTTGCACTGCTTGAAGCTTTTGGTAGATGTGCTAGATGCTTAAAGGCACTAGGCTGTGCAGAGGTGCTGAGCAGCAAGTAGAGTATAAAGCCAGTGGGAGATTGAGAGATTTCAGCAACCTATATAAAAAATTAGATCAAGCAAGATTCAAGAACATGGCATAACAATTCTTTGTAGGAACTTCTAGCAATTGCGAAGGATACTTTTGGAGATTTAAGTGCTTAGTAGTAGTAAAAATGGGAACCTTGCAGTTCACAGCCAAGATCACATGCTAGTGGCAAGATTGAAGCCATAGCAAAGAGCAAAGAGTGTGCAAGTAAGTCCATGACCAAAAACCAAGTTTTGGGTAGTTGATTGATGAGTTTTTCATATGCCTTTCTCATCAGCTCTCCATGCTCATCATCTCAGACTAGCTAAGCATGATTCAAGCTTAGATTCAAGCTTGGATCAGCTAGTGGGAGTATTAGATGATGTGGCATGTAGTTATGCCTACGTGGCAGTAGTTTCATGTATATGTACCATTTATATATAGTTGAATATACAGAAAGTTCTTCCAGTGGGACTTTGAAATTGATCTCGGGGTAGTGCTTTTGTGAAGATATCTGCAACCTGAGTCGTCATGTTGCAGTAGATCAGCTCAATTGTGCCATCTTCCACTTTCTCACGAACAAAATGATGATGAATCCCAAAGTGTTTGGTGCGTGAATGAAAGTGATGATTGGCTGCTAACGCTTGATTATCGCAGAAGAGGCGAGTGGGAGTCTTCACACTCACACCAAGGTTAGAAAGTAGTGTCTTTGGTAGCTTGTGAGGCTGCCAAATATTCTGCTTCAGTGCTAGACGTTGCCACTGTACTTTGCGTCCTGTGCACCACGAGACTGTCGCACTGCCCAGGGAAAACGAATAGCCAGAGGTGGACTTGCGTGTGTCTCAGTCTCCCCCAAAATCAGCATCACAGTAGCCCGCGAGGGTAAGCTCTTTTCCCTGGTAGCACAATCCAAGGTAAGTAGTACCACGAAGGTACCTGAAGATGCGTTTCACCGCTGCCCAATGTTGAGATCCAGGATTAGCCAGGAATTGGCTTGCTCATGGCAAAAGAAATATCTGGGTACATGAGACTGCTAACAGCTTGTCTGTAAGGGATGGAGTCCATGGCTCTTTTGTCGTCCTCTGTCTCAGGAGACATGGATTGGGAGAGCTGGCAGCCTCGATCACGCACAAGTTCCATGTCAAGAAAGTAGGAAGCCGAGCCAAGAGTTTTCATCTGCAAAGATCTCGCTTAACCTGGAGAAACAGTAAGTGATGATTATGGATGACAAGAGTATCATCAACATAAAGAGCGATGATCACAAATGATTCACCGTCCACCCGAATATAAAGATTCGCTGCCTCGCTACGGGAAAAGCCCACACTTAGTAAGGATCTGGGTGCTTGTTTCAAGCCGTAGACAGCTTTTTTGAGAAGCCAGAGATGATCCTCTTTTCCAGCGGCTAGAAATCCTTCTGGCTGTGACATATAGATTTCTTCTTCAAGCTCGCCATAAAGAAACGGCGTGGTCACATCCATCTGTTCCAGATCAAAGTCTCCCACCGCAGCAAAATTAATCAAGGAACGAAGAGTAGAATGCTTAACCACTGGAGCGAAGGTGTCGTTGTAGCCAAGTCCAGGAACTTGCAAGCATCCTTTCGCCACCAATCGCGAACCGAGCCATCAGGATTAAGCTTAAGAGCATACACCCACATGCTCTTGATAATCATCGTACAGCTTTGCTTCGGGAGTAGCAAGCCGTAAGTCTGCCTCCATGGTGGTGATGACCGGGCAGTAGCTACAAGGAACAAGCACTAGGAACAAGAACATGTGTCTCGTTCTTTTGCTGTGAAGCAATCTCGGCTTCCATTGCTACACGCCAGTAAGACGCTTCCTGTGAGGCCATGGCTTCTCCATAGGTCCTCGGAACAGTAGGAGTCCCAGCTGCACGAGATGAGACCATTGTCTCGATGAGACGCTCAGTAGGCCGCCTTGTGCGGATCGATCTGCGTGGAGGATCTGGAGGAGGCGGCGGCATTGGTGGTGTTGGAGTAGAAGCGGGCATGAGTTGATGCGTAGGGACTGTTTGAAGCGGCACAGTGATCATGCTGACAGTCAACTGGTCTTGTTCCGCTTCAACGTCATTTTCTTCGGTCAAGGTAGGCCTGGATGTAGAACCTTGACTGGACGTTGAAAACCACATCTCTGCTGAGGATCTCCTGCTTCGTGATTGGATTTCAGAGACGATAGGCTTTGTGATCGACAAACACAGCCTGCTGGCTCTTGGGGTCCAATTTCTTGTGCATTCCATCAGGGATGTGTGCCCACGCTTCACACCTGAATATTCTCAGATGCGTAACTGTAGGTTCTTGCTACTCCATGCTTCTTCAGGAGCGATGCCAGCAGAGGTGGGGAGCCGGTTCTGGAGATAGTTTGCCGTCAAGACAGCCGGAAACCAGAAGCTTCGTGGCAAACCACTGGAAAGTAGCCACGTGGCACAGGGCCACTCAACAGTTTGCATCCATCGGCTTGGCTCTAGAGCTGCGGCATCCATTGTTGAACTGGACCTGCCTGTAGCTGTGCTCCTTGCTGGATGTACCCAAGCTGCAACCCTGATTGCGAGGGGCCAACATAGAGATCAGCCTTAGATTGTGTTGGATGCGATCTATGGCTCCACCTTTCCCAAGCGCGAATTATACTTAGTACCCTGCCGGCCAATGTGGAGTATGTGACTGACAGTACGAGCCGAAAGCCACGATCCTTGAGACACTTTCGCGCAGCTCATAGTTCTTCGTGAGAGATTCTACCGGCTCCTGCCAAGATCAAAGTACACCACATATAAGCACGAGATACACCGCGCATGAAACGCTTGCCTGTGGAGCGTGAACCACCAAACAAGAGAGAAATTTCTCTTCCAGCAGATAGTGATGAATCTGATCCGTGAACGCAGTTCCTTTGCGTATCGATACCCCATTTGGCTCGAAGGCTACACCATCCCGATCACAGAGAAAAGTGAAAGCTTGCAAACAAACTTGTTCTTACGTTTGTGGATGAGAAACTCTCGCCTTGGATGGATCAGTCGGACCGATCAACTCACGCCACTCGGCAATGGCGTTGCGTTTCTGGAGCACCATGGCAGCGACAGGACCACTGCGAAGAACAAGGGAATGGCTGTAAAGAACGCGGCAAAAACAAGCCAATAATCCATCAAACCTTGTCATGAAATCGACGAGATCGTCAAAAAACTCGCGCTTGGAATGCTCGGCATAAAAGTTCCTGGCCAGCGATTCTTCCAGACGTAGCATTCTCTCGGTGATTATCAGAAAACCCGACGCATTGACAAGGGCCTTGATGGATTCCACCTGATTCGTCTCGACGCAGTCGGGCTTCACCATCGCGAGCGTCGATTCCACATCCCCTCCGCACCGAGATACTGAGAGATCCAGTGCTCGGTAAAGATTCTGGAGACAAGAATTACTCACCGACGCAAGCCACGACTAGAACAACGATTCCGCGCCAGCGCATTTGTCCTCTTCACTCAAGAACCCTAGAAAGCAGGGCTCGTATATTCCTTGTACTGCCACCTGGAAGGAGAGAAATTTGGGGATTCTTCCTCCAGGAAGAAATTTGGAGAGTTTCTTCCAGCAATGGCTTCTCCAAGGCGCCGATCTCAACGCGCCGGTGTTTGATCTCGCAAGATCGTGCAGCACGGTACCATGGATTCACAGGCAGGAAGGGTTGAGGATCTGGAGGACGATCTATTGGAGCGCATCCTGATCTTGCTCGAGGTATGATGGTGATAGGGAATGTTGCAGAGATTTCCTAAAGTTCGTGACACAGTCGCGAGATCTTTGTGCACTGGCAAGCTGCTCAAAATCTCTCTGGAAAATCGGTTGTCGCGATGGAATCTGGGCCAGCGTTTTCAAGAGACGCTGGCCCGCGGCCATCCCTTACAAGCAGCCTCACGAGGTAGCTAATTTTCTTTCTTGTGATAAATTTTCTGATAGATTCCTTTAAAGGATTGGAGAACATCGTACGCTCATCGCCACCTTGAGATGGCAAGCTTGGCCGGAGCCGTGATCGAGTTTGTGAGAATGTACGCCTGCGAAGAATCGCTGGAAGTCGCCAACTATCTCAACGCTCTCGACCTCCTGTGCGTGCGAGACATTGGCTTCCAGGACGTTCTCATCAATCTGTTCTCGCCAGCTTTGAGCGTCCTGGTGAATCTAATCGGCTTGCACTACTCGCTCGTCCATCTCAAGATCCAGGTAACTCAATGCTTTCCCTCTGGTTTTCCTCTTAGAAATCTTTGCCTTGACACCAGGATGATGCTGTGAGAGACGCCCTCGTTGGGAGGAAGATTTCCGATCGACACATATGCTTTCGGTGGTGGAGCATGGGTGTTTGGTCCAATGGCTTCCGCCGGCGAGACGAGATGCACATGAAGATAGCGTCCTTGTACGAGCTCACTGAGCCTCGCCAGCGATTTCTCTTCAAGGTGATGGAACGAGGTACTGTTCATGAGGTTTTGCGGGTGCAAATATCAGCAGATTTTAAATCCAGCGCTTGGGTTTGGAGGGATATGCACTCGCAGCGGTAGCTACAGTTCTTAGGATAGTGCGACGGCTTGGCCATGAAATTCGCGAGGGCTCTTAGACAGAGTTCTGGTGTTTTTAGCACTGATCTTACAGAAATTGGGCTCGCGGTAGAGTCACAGCGCATGGGAGGTATGATTTCTCTTCTATAGTTTCCCGTTCAGTTCATGCTAACTTTTTAATGTTTTTCTCATTTGTAAGTGCTTGAGCTTCCATCGATTTGATTTTGAGACTTTCAGAAACTACTTCGCAGGAAAATCTAAAAAGCTTGTTTTCATCCCAGTAAAATCTGTAAAATACATATGAACCTTGTATTCAGCCGCGTCAGCAGCCAACGTGGCCATGACGTGGGTTGGGATAAGCTACCACGTGGCGGTAGCAGGCTCTTTCGTTTCTTATCCGGGGGGAGCGTGTGCACTCCACAAGCGTCTCTGGTGCTTGGCATACGTAGCTAGGGTTTTGATCGCTCTCGAGGACGATTTGGAAGGAGAAATGGCCCAGTTTGGTGTGGGAGGGATCGCGTTGCAAGCCCCTCAAAGGCCACTCTTCTTGAGCGCCGAGAAGAAGCAGCAGCAGCAGGATGGTGGAGGGTTCTTGGACTGGTTGCTCAAGGGATTGGACAAGGAAACTTTCTCGGAGAAGGATCCGGTTTTGAACCAGGGCGATGGAAATGATCGATCCAATGGAGCTGCGTCGTCAGCGGTGCCATCGAGCAAGCAGAAGAAAGGAGCAGGGACAGCAGCAGCGCCCTCCAAGGGTGGCTTCTTGGGAGGACTTTTCGGAAAGAAGGATTGAATTGTAGACTTCCTTTAGTGCGTAAAAAGAACGCTTCTTGTCAGTAAAAAGAAACGTTTCTTGCTCTCGGCTGTTTGTCCCTGGGCTACTAGCCTAATGAAAATCCAGGAGAGTGTGCATGCCAGGAAATCTCTTGCTGCAATCACAGAAGAATTGTAAAGTTGGTGTTTTGAGTGACAGGTTTCTGGATACATTTATGAACTAACTTTTCTAGTATCTTCTTTACCATTTGTCAGGTGTGATAACACTAAAGTCTGCTTTCTATATAAATCAATTACATTCCAATTTCATGTCAAACCTCAGTGAATACATAAAGAAGCACACATTAGAATTTCAAAAGACATAGAAATGTAAAGTTTGAATTCAAAACATTGTATTTAGATTATGCAATTTCAATTATTAATGAAATAATGTAGTTGATATTTTGAAATTTAAATGATTAAAAAGAGGAATGAATCATTCTTTTAAAAACTTTTTCTTTTTAAATTTAGGGAAAAAACATCCTAACAAAAGAGCTAAAGTGAAAAAAATTTAAAATTTTATTGATAAGAAAATTACTTTTTTGGTAAAAATTAAAGATTCAAGATTATAAGTTCATTCTGAAAATAGATGTGATCTTCATAAAATTAATATAAAATAAATAAAATATGAAATCTATAAAATAAAAATTAGAATAATATGTAATGCGTTTAATTATGATCTTTACTTTTATTTGTTTAATTTATTTAACATGTAAAGTCTTCAAATACATGACCTTGTCGGGGTTTAAACCCAAATTCATATATACTTTTATTTTTATATCCTGAGCACTTAGAAATTGAGTTTTAGTTTTTAGGATATTGAACTATATATAGAAAATAAGAATATTATAAGTATTTAGTAAATTTGATAACATATATATAACATTTTAATATATTTATTTATATTAAGATAATTAAGGTAATTGTGAGTAATTTACTTTAATAATATCTAGAAAATCATTTTTGTTATTGAAAATATAAAATAAACAGCATGTTTTATTATATACAAACATATATAGTCGATATAAAATTCAAGACTTTATCCATTTATAGTACTAAACCATACCTAAAATATGAGAATGTGGTGTTTTGAACTTTTGTGTCTATGGAATCTGGGTTACACAACGAAGTCTTGTCTTGGAACACAAAGCTAGCTTTTCATCTCAAACATGGGAATCTCAAGCAAGCCACAGACCTGTTCAACCGAATCCCGGATTCCAAGAAAAACGTGGTCACCTGGAACACTGTGATCACCGCATTTGCCCAGGCTGGGCAAATGGACCTTGCCTGGAAGATCTTTGACTCCACTCCCAAACACAGCATTGTCTCCTTCAATGCCATCCTCTCTGGCTGCGCCCTCCACGGCGACCTCAAGAACGCCGCCAACCTTTTCTTCCATAGGATGCCCGTTTGGAATCCCGTCTCCTCCACTGCAATGATTCGTGTGCTAGCAAGCCGCGGCCAGATCGAGGAGGCACGGCAAGTGTTCGATGCCATGGGCGATCACGACACAATCTCCTGGGGCACCATGATCCAGAGCTATCTCCAGTCCGGCCATTTGGCCATTGCAAGAAACCTCTTTGATCAAATGCCCCACAAGAGCGTAAATTCCTGGACCGCGATTATGAGCGGATACGGTGATCGTGGCGAGATGACCTCCGCGGCCGCCATCTTTCTTGCAATGCCGGAACACAACATCGTGACTTATAACGCGCTCATTGCTACATATGCCCGAAACGGGCATCTAAAACGCGCAAAAGAGATCTTCTGTGCGATGCCTGAGAGAAACGTTGCATCGTGCAACGCGATTGTGGCAGCGCTCTGCGATGCCGGGGAGGTTCTTGAGGCAGATCGCGTGATCTCTGCGATGCCATTTGTGGATGTGATCTCGTGGACTGCTATCATCTCCGGTCACGCCCGTGTTGGGGATCTAGAAATAGCGCAGCGGCTTTTTGATTCGATGCCCGAGAGGAACAGGATCTCCTGGAACGCTATCCTTGTCGCAAGCACGGCAGGGGGTAACTTGGAGCAGGCTAAGTGCCTGTTTGATCGAATGCCAGAGCTCGATGTGGTGGCGATCACCACGCTCATCACAGCCTATGGCCGCGCCGGGCATATCGAGCAGGCATTGGAGCTCTTCCTGCAGATCCCTGAAACGGACGAGGTGGCCTGGCTCGCTATCATCCAGGCGCTGATCGAGAATGGCCAGATCGCCACTGCTCGTAGTATGTTGGATCTGATGCCCAATCGATCCAGCGACCTCGCAGCGCGCACTGCCGTCATCAATGCCTATGCTCGCACCGGGCAGATGGATCGAGCGATGGAGCTCTTCCAGAGGATGAGTTCTTGCGATGCCGTGGCCTGGAATGCAATGGTGGTGGCGTGCACCGCCGCCGTGGGCGCCGCCACAGCGCTGGAGCTTGCCGCCGCCATGGAGTGTGAAGGATTCCTCGCCAGCGCCATCACCTACGTCGGAATCCTCGTGGCTTGCAGCAAAATGGGGCGGATCGAAGAGAGCCGCAGAAGATTTTGGAGCGTTTCCTTCGATCATGCGCTGGAACCGATCTACGACCACTACTGCTGCCTTGTGGACGTGCTTGCGCGCGCGGGGCAGTTGGAGAGGGCCGAGGATCTCGTCCGTTTCATGCCCTTCGTGCCAAATCCAATCGCCTGGCACACGCTCTTGGCAGCATCGCGGAATCACGGCGAGAAGAATGGCGCAGAGAGGGCCGCTGGGGCGATTCACAGGCTGGGCGGGCGATCCAGCAACAATGCCGGTCTCTATGTCATGCTCGCCGACGCAAAAACCCTAAGTGCCAAGTAACTAGTTTGACTTGGTCAGCAGAAGTCAAAGAAATTGACTATTTCCAATCTAATGATTGGCAAACTGATACAAATTGTATCTTGGAGTCGCATTTTCTTACGGTTAAATATAAAGGACACGTGTACGATTTTGATCAAGCCACGCACACGTCATGCCCTAACCATCCGACTCATTAAATTGACGGAATCCAAACGCTTTACTTTATTCCGGTTAATTGTTCCAAACGAGCCCACGCTATCTCTTTTTTTTTTGCCCATTCTCAACCCCCATTTCTCTCCTCGTCTCGTTTGTGCGCGGCCGGCGAGAGCGCGCGGGGGTTTGATCGATCCATCGAATCGTTGGCGGGATCGGCACCGGCGCCACTAGGTAGCTGCGGATCGGCGCTCCTCGTTTTATGAGGTGAGATGCGACCCTATGGGCCAAATTGCTTGCCGGATCCAGTGTCTAGGTCTCAGAATCTGGTTCTAATTCGTGTTGTGTGCTTTTGCAGCACCAAGGAGAGACCCACTCTCGGGTAAGGGCTTTGAGATTCTTGCATTGGTTTTGGTTTGGTTTGGTTTGTTCATGATTTGGGCGTGTATAGTGGCACGCGGATTAAGACCCGCAAACGGAATATTGCAATTCCGTTGGACCCATCTTCTTTCGCGGATGCTATAGTCCAGATCTACTTGGATCATGCTGGTGATCTGGTGAGAATTATGCCTTGCGAGCGTGATCTTGATTTTTAATTATTCTTTCCTCTGGTTTTTCTAGGAGCTGACTGCCAAGAGTATCGAGGCCTCGGATCTTGATTTCTCACGCTATGGTGACACCTTCTTCGAGGTATGGATAAGCTTAAGAACGTCGCAGTTTCTCGGTGGAGTTTAGGAGTCTCAAACTTGTTTTTTCTTTCGTTTGCCAGGTTGTGTTCACCGGTGGCCGTAATCAACCAGGGACGACGAAGCCCGAGGACGGAGAGAGGCAGCCTTATGCTGTTTTAAATTGTGAAGCTACTCGACCTAGCATACTGCCTTACGTTCTGTACATCCAGAAGATTATAAGGCGACGTCCGTTCCTGATCAAGAATCTCGAAAATGTCATGCGCAGGCTGCTCCAATCTTTGGTATGCTAGTTTTTCTGGTTTACAGGGAGACGGTATTAACTCTTTTTTTCTTTTTGTTAGGAACTCTTTGATGCCGATGACCGGAAGAAGCTGGCAATCTTCACGACCCTTGCTTTGTCCCAGAAGCTCTCGGGCCTGCCACCAGAAACAGTATTTGCGGCGCTTCTCAATGACAGCCTCGTGGCTAAGGGGACTGTACTGGGGTTTTGTACGGAGACATTCAAAGAGTTTCTTCTGGAGAACAGTCTTGACGATCTCATATCGCTCCTGAAGCGTGCGAAAATGGAGGATCGTCTCGTGGAGTTGTTCCCAATGCAGAAGCGAACCCCCGAAGCATTCGCCGAGCACTTCAGGTTGGCGCTTTTCATGATTTTTATCTCTTGTGCATCTTCAAGTTTTTCTTTATTGCAGGAAGGAAGGCCTGGGTGTTTTGGTTGAGTACCATGACAAAAAAGTTTTCGACGTGAAGCTAAAAGAGCTGAGAACCTCGCTGGCCGATCAGATTAGTGCGAATGCGGACATGGGTGAAGTGATCGAGACTGTGAAGAGTCGTCGAAAGGAATCCCTCCTCCCCGACGTGGACGTTGTGCGGACGGTGTGGGATGCTCTAATGGATGCTGTACAGTGGTCAGGCAAGAATCAACAGCAGAATGTCAATCTCGCTCTGCGACAGGTTAGTTTTTAAGTTCTCTCACGTCGTAAGAAGCGAAGTAACGCTCTTCTTATTTCTAATGCACAGGTGAAGACATGGGGCTCGCTGTTAGGCGAAGTCTGCACGTCCGCAAAGCTGGAGATGGAGCTTATGTACAAAATACAGGTCCACTGCTACGAAGACGCAAAGCTCATGAAGCTCTTTCCTGAGATGGTGCGCGCTCTCTACGACCAGGACGTGCTGGCCGAGGATACCATTTTGACATGGTTCCGCAAGGGAGCGAATCCGAAGGGCCGGTAAGTGCCAGAGTTTCACTTTATTTGCAGCTTTAGCGTTTCATACTAGCTCATTTTGCATTCATTGTTCCTTCTTTCTCGTCATATATCGTTCGTTTGAATTGGATGCGTGATTCACAGCTTTGATTTTTGTCGCAGGCAAATCTTTGCCAAGAGCTTGGAGCCTTTCGTGCAGTGGCTCGAAGAAGCCGAAGAAGAAGAGTAGCAGCTATAAAACTTTGCAAAGCCAAAGCACACAAGCTTTGTAGAATATGCTGATTTGTACTTCTTGAATATTCTTTCCTACGTTTAAAGTATACAACAAATGCAAGTTTTTCTACTTAGGGTTTATAGGCGACGATGGAGCTGCGAGTGGACAAGCATGTGGAATTCATCAAATCGCTGGAGAAGGTATGAAAGAAATCTCGCAAAAGATCAAGAATAGATCTCTCCTCGATCGCGCAGAAGAAGGATTTCGATTCAATGGTGATGGAGCACCTCCGGATGAACGGAGCGTATTGGGGGTTGACCGCGCTGGATTTGATGGGATGTAGGGAAGACGTCGACGATGCCAAAGTTATAAGCTGGCTCTTACAATGCAAGCACGATTGCGGTGAGGAATCCTCTTGCTCTTGCTCTGCTCTTGGATCTAAGCTGGATTTTCTTTCTTTCTTTGATTTCAGGTGGTTTTAGTGGAAACATAGGCCATGATCCTCACATTCTCTATACTCTAAGCGCCGTCCAGATTCTAGCGATTTACGATAGAATGGAGCTCTTGGACTCGGACAAAGCAGCTTCCTGTATCCTTTTTCTCCAGAGTTTTCTTTCTTCAGACTTGTTTTCTCCTTGAACAATGTTCTTAACGTCCAGGAAAGATATTGCGAGCCTTCAGCAGGAGGATGGATCTTTTGCTGGAGACGAGTGGGGGGAAATCGATACGAGGTTGAGTAGAAAAGCTTTTGGTTTTCTCATATCACCGTGGTTTTTTTTTTCTTTTTTTTGGTTGTGCCAGATTCTCGTATTGCGCGTTGTGCTGCCTTTCTCTTCTCAAGCGCTTGGACGTGATCAACGTCGAGAAAGCAGTCGACTACATTGCGAGCTGTAAGAACTTCGACGGTGGTTTTGGTAGCATTCCCGGAGGGGAATCTCACGCCGGACAGAGTAAGCCTGAAAACTGTTTTCGAAAGCTCTTGGCTTAGCTAATGTTTTCCGCGATTATACAGTTTTTTGCTGCGTTAGCGCTCTCGCTATTGCCGGTGCGCTTCATCACATTGACAAGGATTTACTCGGCTGGTGGCTTTGCGAGCGCCAAGTTAAATCCGGTGGTCTCAATGGCAGGCCCGAGAAGCAACCCGACGTAAGTCGTATCTCTTTGGTCCTCTCTAAAATGGCGATTCGTGTCAAAGGTCTGCTACTCGTGGTGGGTGCTTTCAAGTCTAGTGACGCTCGGCCGTGTGGACTGGATCGACAAGGAAAAGCTCAAAACTTTCATTCTCGACTGCCAGGTACACTCACTGTAGAGGCGTTTCATCTCTTAACATAGTTGTGAGCCTTGTGTAGGACACTGAAGAAGGCGGCATTTCGGACAGGCCAAACGACGCAGTGGATGTTTTTCACACCTTCTTTGGAGTTGCTGGTAAGCTGACAATTCTCTCGCTTTGCGATTGATTCTTACCCGTTTTGTCCAGGGTTATCGCTCTTGGACTACCCCGGATTGAAGCGGATAGATGCGGTCTATGCTCTGCCAGTGGACGTTGTGAAACGAATTTTTGGTTAACTAATGCTTTCATCTAGATAATTACAGTTAACTTTCTCCTTGTCACAGAGATTTAGATCACAGCTTTTATCAGTGTGGTGATTCTAGTAGACCTTTACAGTTTTTCCTCAATTTCACAAGCTTGTTATGCCAATCTTTCTTTGAGCATTCCGCTATCACATCCTTTCCTTGCAAAATATGCTCTTCCACTCTGTCCCACATAAATCTTGCTAGAGCTTTTAAACACGTGTCTGTTGGAGCTTACAGTATATCAGCCAGCAAGGTTTGCAAAAATCCTTCGAATCTGTATTTTATATACTTTGTAAATTGTTATTTTTTTTTAATGGATTTTATATTTTTACCTACAAATAATTGATACTTCGAAGTTTATATGTAGTTTGTCTACTTGTTTCCAAAGTGAGCTTATTTCCCATCCAATGCAACAAAAGAAATCCTGAACACCAAACATTATTTACCTTTGGATTTCCTCAAATTATAGTTACACTTATGAAATCAATGAATATGTCAAATTGAAATTACAACATTGATTTGAGTGTGTCATTTGAAGCTAAACTTGCAAAACTTTGGCTTTAGCATTGCAACTCAGGAAAAAACTCTTGGATGAGCTTGGTTTACTGTAATTCAATTAAGTTTCTCAGCTTTAAGAAACGGAAAGGAAAGGAACTAGAAAGAAAGGACTATGATCTACTAGCCTGTATATTCTAGCTGTTTGTCAATTGTGAAATGTGCATCCAAGGCCAACTTTAAATCAACAGATAATCATTGATGACAATGGGAAAGAACTCAAATTCTAGTGAGTGTAGACAATGCTATTAAAAATCCCATTTACAAGAGTGTTGATATATTGCTTGACAAATTCTATGGAGGTGCTAATACCTCCTCACACACTACAAAGGAAAAAAGATATGTACCTGTGGTTGCTTGGAAAGAACTTTAAATGTGATTGGTTGCAATCCCATGCACATATCCACATTCACAAACACTACTGGCACCACAATGAAGCTCTGCACTCTGATGAGGTGAAGGTGGATTCCAATGGTATTCTAGAAGGGATCTCTAAATGTTTATATCTTAAAAAAGAGTTAAAACACAAGGCACATAAAAATCAAACAGCAAGGAAAGAACCTGTGTTTCAAATCTATTTCTCTGGTTTCTAAAAGCCAATGATCCACTAGGAGAGTGGATGGATTAAAA